CTGGCACTCCAGTTGGTCTCCCAAGCCGTACTAGGAGTGATTCCTGAATGCAGAGCTAGGAGAAACGCCTAAGCATTGCTGGGTGTGGCCCAGCCCTCCCCCCACCAAAAAATGGACCCCAAGGATCTAAAGAGATAGAGCTTAAATTCTCACAAGAAAATGAGAAAATAGGACTAGTGAGATAGGATAGGGATTAAAGTTTTTGCCTTCCACAGACTCCAGCCCAGCCCTGCCAGAAGTGATTTTGAGCACAGAGCCAGAGATAAACCTTGAGCATCTCTAAATGTGACCCAAATCACACTGCCCTCTCCTTAAAAAAGAGAAAATCTTCAAAATATTGCATTTGGCAATGATTTTTTTTTTGTTTTAAAATGAGTTTATTAAAGAACGTTCTTAGGAAGGCAACAACAATGTCTGATTTGTCATTTGAAAAAAGCTGCTTCTTCATGCTGTATCATAACAATTATGAGATGTTACAGAAGTACAGGTGTCTTTCTAATGGGATTCTGATAGTCTAGCACAGTGTAGTGATTTCTGCAATGCTAGAATAAATAAAAAAAGTCTCTTCTGTGCTTCTCTCCAAATAGTGGATAACGAGGACGGCATAAAAAAGCCACTGCATTTTCTACTCATTCTGTAGTATTGGATCCGGTATTTTTACCATCACAGGCTACAATTTTCACTTTATCCACTTTAATAAGTTCTGTCACCTCTCTGAATTCAACATCATTCAATACAAAAGTCCACACATTGTCGCAAAATCTGTATGTATTTAGAGAGCCCCTGAAGTTGACTCGGTTCCTGACCCTCTGAGCCAGTGCTGAATTTATAGCCTTATCAAACTGGAGTAGGACTTGGAGGGCAAGTTGCGGGGTGATCTCTTGAGACTGTATGAGCTCATCAAGGCTCTCCTGAAGACTGTTTCCCAAAGTAGTATTTCTGTACAACTGATATGCCATGGTTCAGGAGAAGTTGTTTCCTTATTCAGGCTTGCATTGATACCCTGGGGGAGGGGACGGCGCTTCCCGCCGCGGAGCGCACGGAAGCCCGGCAGGAGACACCGACGCCCACCACCTCCTCTCCGGCCGCCGCACGAACCCCCTTGGCAATGATTTTTTGGATATGACAACAAAACATCTAAAGAAAAAAGAAAAAAGAGGCAATGGCTTTATTACAATTAAAACGTGTGTGCTTCAATGGAAACTATCAAGAAAGTAAAGACAATCCACAAGATTAGAGAACATATTTGCAAATCATACTTTTTAGGGGTTTGGGGGTCGTACCTGACGGTGCTGGCTCTGCACTCAGGAATCACTCCTTGTGGGCTTGAGGGACCTTATGGGATGGCAGGGATTGAACCTGGGTTGACTGTGTGCAAGGCAAGCGCCTTATATGCTGTACTATCTCTACAGCCCCAAAGCATACATTTTTTAAGGTATTGATGTCCAAAAATATGCAAAGGACTCCTACGTCACAACAACAAAATAAACAACAATTAAAAATAGGCAGAGGCCAGTGAGATAGTACAGTGGGTAGGGCACTTGCTTTGCACGTGGCTGATTCCCGTTCGATCCCCGGTACTCCATATGATCCCTCGAACACCATCAGGAGTGATCCCTGAGCATAGAGCCAAAAGTATGACCTGATCACTGCCAGGTGTGGCCCAAACACAAAAGCAAAATTAATAAAATAATTTTAAAAATAAAAAGTGGGCAAAGAATTTGAAAAGACATTTCTCCAGGACTGGTGCAATAATACAGCCAGTAGGTTATTTACTTTGCAACCAACTGACCCAGGTTCGATTCCCAGCATCCCATATGGTCCCCGAGCACCACCAGGAGTAATTCCTGAGTGCAGAGCCAGGAGCAACTCCTGAGCATTGCCAGGTGTAACCAAAAAAAAAAAATAAAAAGGACATTTCTCCAAAACAGATATACTATGGCAAATAAACACAGGGGTCATTGAGGAAATGCAAATCAAAACTAGGAGATAGCTCTTCAGACCTTCTGGGGTGACTTTCATCAAAAAGCAGAGAGGGCAGGGCTTGGGTTTAATCAGTGGAACACATCCCTTGCCTGTATGAGACCCTGGGTTTGATTCCTGGCACAGTCCACACCTCTGGGAGTAATCCCTGGGCAGTGCCAGGTGTGAGAACAATCAGCGTCTCCAGCATTGGTCCCTGACACCACCACCGCAGTCATAAGCGGAAAAGAACAAGTGTGGATGAGAATGAGAGACATTGTTACAGTTGCTGATGGGAACATAAATGGATGAAAGGGACCACAAAGGACATAGGAATTCAGCAAGTTACTCAAGTGGAAAGGTTTGGTTGTTTCTCAGTGAATTAAACAAGGAATCACCACATGCACCAGCAATTCCACTCCTACATATATGCCTAAAAATATTGAGAGCAGAGACTCAGATTCATGTCTATCAAAAGTCTATCAATTTTGTCTATCACATACATCATTCATCTTGTATGTGGAGTCTAAAAAAAAGGAAAAAAACCCAAATTAATAAACAGGAAAAAAACAACCAACAAACAACAAAATGGTGGTTGTAGAGGGAAGTGGGTGGAGAGTAGTGAAGTGGGTGAAAGGGCCCACAAAAGACAGCATTCCTCTTATAGGTCCTGGGATATACAGCAGTACAAGGCAATGGCTAATATTGTAAAAAAAAATTTTCTAGGAGATGGCGGTACAACAAAATGAATATGCTTAGCTCCATTAAATTATATCATCAGGGGCTGGAGTGATAGCACAGTGGGTAGGGCGTTTGCCTTGCACGCGGCCGACCCGGGTTCAATTCCCAGCATCCCATATGGTCCCCTGAGCACCGCCAGGAGTAATTCCTGAGTGCAGAGCCAGGAGTAACCCCTGTGCATCGCCAGATGTGACCCAAAAAGCAAATAAATAAATAAATAATATCATCAAAAATAGCTACAGTGGGATTCAGAGACTCACAAATGAATCCCAGGACTGAGCGTCTCTGTGCAGGGATGGCTCCAGACCATGTGCCAGGCTGATTTCACGGGGCGCCTTAGATAGGAGCAGGTGTTCTCTCCTCCTGCACCAGATGAACCCCAGCAGCCGCAAACTTCTGAACCCAATTGCCACCATCCTCATGACCAATCTTCACAGGCTCGTCCTCGGCCCCCTATGCAAGAGAATAAATCCACTGAAAAACCCATGTATGTAGGGCCAGTGACTAAAAACATCAGGCCTCAAGGAGCCAGGACTGGGCCAGCCCTTCCCAAATCCCCACCCTTCCAGGGTCCTGGCCGCGTGATATCTCATACTATTTTTGTTGTTGTTGTTGTTGTTAAATCACTGTGAAATAGACCCTCACAGACATCTTATACTATTCATAACAAAATAAATTATCAAAAAAGAAAAACCAAAATAAATTATCTAGCATCTGCCTATGGGGCAGGCTTGAATGGAGGTGGGAAACTTTGAAATAACGGTGGTGGGAAGGTGTAATGGTGGTGGGATTGGTGTTGAAATATAGAATGTAATCAATTATTGTGAACAACTTTGTGAAAATAAAATATAAAATAAAAAAATAGCTACAGTGGTAAATTTTGTTATGCACATTTTACCACCATAAAAAGATTATGTGGAAAAATCCAAAACACGTACCTGGACACCTATGTTTATGGCCTCTTAGTCACAATATAGTACGATTGTTTCTAAAAGATAAAAGCAGCCCACTTGTCCATCAACAGATGAATGGATAAACAAAAAGTGCTATGTCCACATAATGGAATATTATTCACCCTTAGAAAGAAACAAATTCTGATAGATGCTCAACATGGGTGAACTTTTTAAACATTATTTTAGGGCAGAGGAAGGTAGCTCAGGGGATCAAGGCTGAGTTCGGTCCCAGGGACTGCGTGTTGCCATCCCAGCACTGGGCATGGGCCTGGGGACCCCTGAGTACAGCTTCGGAAGCCTTCTCCAAACTTTACGTGCCTGGGATGGATCCTACTTGGTAGTGATATATGATCTTTTTGATGAGTGGTTGGATTCTGTTTGCTAGGATTTTATTGAGAATCTTTGCATCTGTGTTCAATAGGGATATTGGCCTGTAATTCTCTTTGTGGTGTCTCTGTCTGGTTTTGGCATCAGGGTGATATTTGCCTCATAGAAACTGTTTGGAAGTGTTTCTGATTCTTCAATTTCCTGGAGAAGCTTGAAAAGGATTGAAAAGAAGCTTGAAAAGAGTAGGTCCTCTTGAAAAGAGTAGGCCCTCTTTTAAAGATTTGGAAGTTGGGATAGAGTTAGGGACCACTAAGTCAATGGTGGTTGGAGGGATCGCTCGGGATGGAAGATGTATGCTGAAAGTAGACAAAGGAAGACATGATGACCTCTCAGTTTCTGTAATGCAAACCATATAGCCCAAAAGCAGAGAGAGAAAGTAAGAAGGAAAGTGCCTGCCATAGAGGCAGAGGATGGGGTGGTGTGTGGGTGGCAGGAAGGAAACTGGGGACATTGGTGGTGGAAAATATACACTGGTAGAGGGATGGGTGTTCAATCACTGTAGGACTGAAACGCAATCGTGAAAGCTTCATAAGTGTATCTTACAGTAAAGGTAAGGTAAAGGCCCTCCCGTTGATCGTCGATTTGCTCGAGCGGGCCCAGTAACGTCCAGGGCTGGAGCGATAGCACAGCGGTAGGGCGTTCGCCTTACACGCAGCCAACATGGCCGACCCGAGTTCGATTCCTCCGCCCCTCTCAGAGAGCCCGGCAAGCTACTGAGAGTATTCGATATGCCAGACACAGTAACAACAAAGTCTCCAATGGAGACGTTACTGGGCCCGCTCGAGCAAATCTTACAGTAATTTCAATAAAAATAAAATAAAAAATAAAATACCAAACTTGATTCTAGGGTCTGGTATGTAGCTCAGTGCCAGTTTATGCTTTGCATGCTGAGGCCTTGAGTTTGATTCCTAGCACAACCCCACACTGCGGAGTACTTTGGGGGGGTGGGGAGACCACATGGAGTATGTGACCCCCAGCAAGCACGACAACAATGACAGCAAAGAAAAGGGTGGGGTTGTGTGTGAAAATAAAGCAATTTTTTTCCTAAGTAGTATGTATGCTTCCACTGATAGGTAAACTAGTATTGACAATATTGACAGGAAATAGAATAGAGTTAACCTGGGGCTGGGTAGCTAATGTTTAAATGCGCACAGATACTCTGTGTTGCTAATGTTTTGTCACAAGGTTGGACAAAAATTTTGGAGTAGGATAGAATGAAGGTTGGACAATCGTGTTCATGAACTTAATGCCACTGAATAGCATACCTAAAAAAAGGGAAGATTTTTGTCATGCATACTTCATCACAGTTTAAATATATACATACATAGCATAGAGGGTTTCTGGAGAGAAAAAAAAAAAGGATCCAAAAGGACTTTTCTGATGGTCTGACTGGATGAATCATCTTGCGGCATGTCTGGCTGGGCTCTCTGCAGACAGACCCTGGGTTGGCCAGAGCTTCCTAGCGCCTGAGGTAAGCCAAATTTACAGGAACTCCCCCTCTCCTTTGAGGCAGGAAGTTTAAATTATCAGGTCAATTAGGAAAGATACAACCGAAAAATACAAGTTTCATTCACACTTCAAGGAGGCGTTTCCTGGCTGGGTGCCATTTTTATTATTTTTGGCGGAGACGGCTGAAAGCCTTACAGCCCCAGCGAAGGTACAATGTGATCTTTGATTCGCGTTTCAGAGATCAAAGAGAACGAGTTTGGGTGTAAATGCAGATAACATTTCAGAGAGCCTTTCATGAAAGGAGTCACTAGACCAGAGCAGAAAGGGAGCTGGTGTGTTACGTGTGTTCGCCTTGAGAAACATCCTTTTCCAGCTGCCCGTGCATGGCCCCAGTGACGCCTGGCCTGCACCCACGTCCTTGGCCCGTGGGGCACTGCAGCCTTGGGTAGGTCTGGCAGCCTCTCCTATTGTCCAGGCAGGGCGGTGCAGGAGAAGGCGCCGCCAATCTCGTTCTGTTCCCAAATCCTGGGTGGCATACCACTCACAGCGGGAAGCTGACCTTGGCAGCCCCCTCCCCCACTCTTGTCTGCTCTGGGCTGGATAGGGCGGCACAAACCCACTCGCGAAAGGAACCCCAAAGCCCTCTGCCCTTCCACCTGCAGGCAGATGGAAGTGAAGGGGGCAGGGGTCACGGCGGTTGGGCGGGTGTCACGGGGACCATGTTTTTTTTTTTTTTTTTTTTTTAGGATTCTAGGCTGGAGGTGTGTAGAACCCGGCGCTAACGAGGTTTTGAGAAAAGGGCACGGACTACTGTACTTCCTTCCTGGGAAGTACAATAGCCTCCTCTATTCCAGCACCCCTCCAGACGCTCGGTAGCACCCCCACGGCTCTCCAGTGCACATCCCACCGAGAGGCAGCATCACGCGTGTGGCAGCATCAGAGCATCCCCCATGCCCAGTTCTGCGGGACCCAGGTGGGGACGCCCCAAGAGCCTGACGCCAGATCTTCCTTTCCCAGACCCCCCATCCCTCCCCATGTCCAGGCCACGCCGTCCCGCGGCTGCGCACACGGGGCAGCGTGGGGCTGGGGGGCGAGAGGCGAGCGCGCTGCCGAGGCCCCGGGAATGTCCGCGCACGGCCGCTCGGCGCAGGCGCAGACGGCAGGGCGCCCGGGGAGGGGCGTGGCGGGTGCGGCGCGGGGACGTCGGGGCGGGCGCGCGCGCGTAGGGGGCGTGGCCGGGCGCCGCGCTCGGGGTTCCGCACGCCACGGTCCTGCGTGTGCCGGTGTCGCGCACTTGGACGGGTGGGTTCGCGGCGTGGCCGGAGCCCAAGTGCCAGCAGGGGCACGCCGACCCTTACCCGTGCCAGCGCGCCGTCTCCGGAGCGGCGCTTGGACGCCCCCCCTCCCCTGGCCTGCGACCCCGCGCGCTCCTCTCCGGGCCGACGTTCCCGATTCTCGTTCTCCGCTGGGGAAAGGGGCACCTGGAGTTACTTTCGGACGCTTCCCGCAGTCTCGGGAGGTCGCGGCCGCGCCCTGCCTCGCCTCATGGCGGTCGATTTTGTTCTCCACTTTCTAGGTGGCTCTTTGATTCTCGCTTTCGGAGACGCGTGCGCCGCCGCGCGTAGCCTCAGGTAAGTTGGGCTCCTTGCTGCCCCGGGGCATTGGGAGCGCCTGTTCCCGCGGTGGTTCCCTGCACGGCGACTGCGGGAGGGGCGATGCAGAGGTTTACACCCTAGCATGAGGCTTTGCAACTTTGGGCCTGTTTTTCTACCCCCGCCTGGGTCTCCCTGGAGCGAGGAAGGCGCCGGTTTCTCCAGGTGCCGCTGCTGGCTCGGCGGGGCGAGTGCGCAGGCGCCGTGGTGGTGCCCGGCTGGGTCGGGCGCTGTCCGGTCCAGGAGAAGCACCCGGGTTTCTCGGTGGCAGGCGGGATGGGGAGAGAATCCAGAAAACCCTGCCACGGCGCCTCAGGGTGGTGAGAGTCAGGCCAGGAGGCGCCCACACGCAGGGCATCCACACGCGTGCCAGTGATCAGGTAGGTGACAGCTCGCATTGAGTGGGAATGGGAGGTCGGGCCGCGGCCTTACTCCAGGAAGGTGAGAGACCTGGGCACTGCGTTTGGGGCATGGGATGTGGGCCTCTGTGGGCAGCCAGACATTTGACCTGGGATTTAGTGGTGGCAGGTAGGGCATGCTCCTGGGCATGGATTGCTCAGAGTCCATTGAAAGACTGGATTGCGCTCAGGCGTGGACTGTATTCGAATGCTGTCCCTTGGTCACCCCTTCCGGCTTGGCTGTCAGGAGTGGATACCTTTCAGGTAGAAGACACCTGCTCCTCCTGGATGAGGCTTTACCTGAGAGATTCCAGAATGCTGAAGGGGTGGAGATGGTTGCCCATAGCCCTGGCAGCTTGCTATGCTGTTTGGGCTATTGTGGGAGATGATGGGCAAACCTGCAGAGCTGTGTCTGCGTGGGGGAGCGCATGACAGGGAAGGTGTGTGTGGGGGGAGGGGGGGTGGGGAGGGTGGGTTGATAAACACCAGGAGACCATACTTGGACACTTCTGTAGGCCCAGGTTTCCTCTCAGTGTGAGCTGATGGAACTTTGGGTGTGTATGGAAGGCTTGTTGGGAAAGACACAGGCAGGGTGAAGCAGAGTGCATTCCCTGGAGACCTGGAGTAGACCTCCCTTTGCACGGAAAGGAGGCTGGCCAGACTGGGCAGCGAGGGCCCGCTGCCCAGATCTGCACCGTGCACTGCCTTTGGTTATAGCCTCCTGTCCTCGAGTCAGGTGTGCTGAGCGCTACTTTTTAGGCCATTTGGAGGAGGGGTGACTTTCGAGAAGTGAGAGAAGAGTGGACCTGTGGGATTTGACGTGGTGTTTCAGGTGCTGGTGGCTGACAGGGTGCTCCCACAGGGTGGTGCATTGGGGTGGGAGTAGCAGAGCCTCCCTGCTATGCCTGGAGTTATGAGCAGAGTCTGGAGAACCTGATGCTGGAGAATAAGACCCTCGGCCGCACTCCCTGTGCCCCCAACTCATGACATGACCTATAAATGTCAGGGCATGGTCTGTGTGCCTGACGGTTAGTGCTTTGGGCAGCTGGAGGCGCGACCCCAACAGCCTGTCAGGTGTCATTCATAACTGGTGCAGTGACATCTGGGAGTTCATCGTGTCTCTAGAGCCAGGTTCAGTGGCCTCTGCCACTCCCTGGCCATGTGTGGTAGTGACCCTCCTCTCCTCACACTGTGTATAAGGCTCCCAGACGCGGGGTCAGTGTCCATGCTGGTGGGATGCCCAGTTAAAGGTTGCCAATGTCACTCTCTGGATGTGCTCTGAGAGCCAGGCCAATCAGGAAAGCCCAGAGGGTCTGATCTGGACACTTTTTCTTTTCCTGGGACTGACCGCCTCTGTCCCCCCATCTGGCCTTCAGAGTGTCCCAGGTGCCGTCCTTCTTAGCCGTCCTCCTGAGTTCCTGGCTGGGTTTCCTGCCTCTGGCCTCCTTCAGCCCCCAGGGGATGGCTGGGGCTAGTTCCTGCTCTTCCCGCTTTGGTGTTGGGAAGGTGGCCTGGGATGAAGGCCTATCGGCCCGACAGTCCCCTCACCTCTGCGCAGCTGTGCCCAGGCCATGGCCGTCTGCTCTCTGCATACTCACTACTGCCCTGGAGTGCCGGGGTGGCCACGCCTCCTTGGCCCATTTTTGTCCTGTTGTGGTCTGCCCATGGCCTGGCCTGTGCCATCTCGTTCTCTCCCCGCTTCTCATCGCCACCAAGGGAAGTTGGCTCTCAGTGTGCCTGGTGACAGTGGGTGACGGCTCATGACCCCCGTGCACACCCTTGGTAACAGACAGACTGGACTGGCCTCTCCTGGGCTCTTGGTGTCTCCTTGATGACCCTCCATTGAGCGGTGGGAATCCTGTGCATGTGTGTATGTAGTGTGTGTGTTGGTGTACGCATGTGTGCTCCACCTTGGAGCTGAGGAGCTTGGACAGCAGTGCTCATGTGGCAGCCCCCTAGCATGCCTGGCCCCTGGCCTCTTAGTGGACTTTCACTGGGTGCTAGGTTCAAACCTGCACAGTTTTTTTGTTTGTTTGTTTGCTTTTTGGGTCACACCGGCGATGCACAGAGATTACTCCTGACTTTGCACTCAGGAATCACTCTTGGCAGTGCTCGGGGGACCATATGGGATACTGGGAATCGAACCCTGGTCGGCCGTGTGCAAGGCAAACGTCCTACCCGCTGTGCTATCGCCCCAGCCCAAACCTGTGCAGTTCGGGTGGTTCCCTGTGGCTGCTGGACCACTTTCTGGCCCAGCTGGGGTATTTTATAGCTTGGTGCCTCAAGTGCTTCCCACCCAGCGCCAGCCACATGCCTGAGGTGCTGGGGCAGCCCTGACCTCACCAGGTTCCTGCTCCTAGCCAGAGGGTTATGAGACCTGGTGCCAGGGTCTTGAGGAAGCGATTCAAGACCCAGACAGTTTCTCTGCAGACCGCGCTCCAGTGTCATGCCTCATGCTGGTCACCGGTAGCCACTGCCACCTGTGGTGAGGAGGACTTAGCCCGGTTCTGGAGGCCGTGAACATCACATGGCCACTGCCCCCAGACCTCTGCTAGCTGCTTTGTGCACCCCATCTCTTTCTTGTTCTGACTTTGCACCCAGAAATGCTGAGCAGCAGCTGGCCAGGAAGAATCCCGGGCCTTGGTCCGTCCTGGTCCTGTAGGGCCTGCCTCCCAGCCGGCTCCTGCACTTGAGAATCTGCTAGGCTCTCGATCCAGAAACTAGAACCGGTTTGCCCCTTGGGGCCATGGCACACAGAGATAGGAGGAGGTTCCTGAGACAGTGGAGAGCCAGGAGGCATCCTTGGGTACTGGACAAGAGCTCGTGGACACCCAGTGACGCCCCCCCTCCCCCGGGGAGCTACCTGCAGCTCTGGATTCTGAGCATGACTCCACCAGTATAGAAGAGCCCCGCCTGGTGAGGCGACACTGCTGGTGACCCTAGATGCAGTGCTGCCCAGAGTTGCCCAGCCCACTGCCCTGTTTTTGGCTGAGGAACTGCACGGATCATGGGGCTCTGCTGTGTCTGAGCACAGACTGCTCTGCTGCGCTCTCTGCCCGGGCAGAATGCTGGCCTCTCGTCTTGTGCCCCTTATCCCCCCCTCCCCTGTGGTCCAGTGGCTGCCTCCCACGGGGCTTCCAGCTGCACCCCTGTATCTTGCAGGTTCCTCTTAGGGACAGACTGCTCAGGGCCAGACTCCATCGGATTTGTATCATCTTTGTAGCCACCCCAGGGAAAAGCTGAGCACCTCCTCGGGCCCTGGCAGGACTGGGCGGGACCTGCCGCCCCAGCCCTGTTGGGATCTGCTCCCTGCCTGGGTGAAGTGGCTGTTTGCGTCAGCCCGCGGCAGCGGGCGGTTGGTCTTGGCAGAGAGAGGTGCTTCCCTGTGTGCTTCCCGGCAGCCCTGGCCGCCGGGGATGCCTTGAGTGCGCAAAAACACGGTGCGGGGCTCTCACTAGTCGGTTCCGTCCCGGCGTCTCCCTGGCTGTCTGTTCACGTTCTGGTGCCTGGCTTCATTGGGAAATCGGCCCACGCTGTCGCTCCCCAGGGCCCTTGCTCTCTCCTCCCTCTTTCTGCGCCACGGCTGCCCCTGCCCTGGCTTGCAGGGCGCCGACTCAGCACCGAAGCCCCGTCCTGGGGATGTTTCCGGGCAGACCGTGAGCCTCTCGGGCGGGGGGGGGGGGGGGGCTCCATCTCAGCTGGCTGCAGGTGCCTGGTACACAGCCGCGCTTACCGTGGCCGTGGTGGAGCCTGAGGGGCGGAGGCTGCAGACCAGCATAGCCTTGACCTTGCCCTGTGAGCTGAACCCCGGGCAGGGGCCCAGCCCCAAGCTCTGGGTGAGTGGTGGCTGCCCATGGGGCTCCGGCGAGGCAGCAGGAGTCAGAGGACGGCTGAGAGAATTGGGGCCAAGGCGGAGAAGGGGGCTTGGCAGGCAGGTGTGGGCTTGGACGTTGAGGGAGCCACCAGTGAAGTGGGGTGCTGGGCGGCCCCAGGGGCCAAGGACTGGAATGAAGAAAGACCTGTTCTGCACGCAGATGGGTTTTCAGGCTCTCTTGAGTCAAGTTGAACACAGGAGGGGCACCTACTCAGAGGGGCGGAGGGGCAAGAATTTCAAACCCTTTCAGATTTGATAATCATGTCAATAAAAACAGCAGCTTCCTGGAAAGCAGGACAAAAAGTTAGCTATAGGGGCTGGAGCGATAGCACAGTGGGTAGGGCATTTGCCTTGCATGTGGCCGACCCAGGTTCGATTCCCAGCATGCCATATCGTCACCTCGAGCACCGCCAGGAGTGCAGAGCCAGGAATAACTCCTGAGCATCATTGGATGTTACCCAAAAAGGCCAAAAAAAAAAAGTTCGCTATAATAAGTACCTAAAAGTTGAAAAAAAACCAATGGTAAATACTTTTTAAGAAGATATTGGAATTGGGGGTTGGAGGGTCGCTACTGGCTCTGCATTCAGAGATCAGTCCTGGTGGAGTTTGGGGGACCATATGTGGTGCTGAGAATCGAACCCAGGTCAGCTGCATGCAAAGCATACACTCCCTGCCCACTGTACTATTGTTCTGGTGCTTCTATGAGGTTTTTTGTTTGGTGTTTTGGTTGGTTGGTTTTGTTTTGGGACCTCATCCAGCTGTTTTGTTTTGGTACCACTCAGGGATCACTCCTGGCAGTGCTCAGGGGATGCTTTGGGATTCTGGGAATGGAACCTGGGTTGGCTGCATGCAAGGCAAGCATTTTTTCTACCCCCTGTAATACTCCCTCTGTCTCTGTCTCCAATTCATGAGTGTTTTATTTATTTAAGGATAGATAAAGAGTTGCAAATCTTGGAAATAGGTGGTAAATGGATACAATCCTAAAAGCAATAAAGCATACAGACAGGAAATTCAGATGCTTTCTTTCTGGGGGGGGTGTTGTTTGGGAGCCGCAACCAGCAGTGCCACACCTGGGGCCATACCTGGCTCTGTGCTCAGAAGACCATATGCAGTCCAGAATTTGTAGTGGTAGCAGCTGCATGCTAGCAAGTGCCTGAATCTGTGTCTCTGGCCCTCGGGTGCTGTTTTGATTCTGGTCAGAAGTGGAGAATTAGTGGGTGTCTGGCCCAGTGCTCTGTATGGGTTTCCTCAGCTGTCCAACTGACCCTCCGTTCACTGTCTGGGGCCAGTTGCTCCCCACCCGCTCTTGGAGTTCTTGTAGAACTGGTGGCAGTGGCCGTATTGAAGCTGGCAAGCCTTTTGGGGTGCCGGTCAGCTCCACGCCGTTGCTGGCCTCTGCAAGGCTGCTCTGCTGCTCTGCGCCCGGGGCAGCGTGGGGCATTGGGGAGGGGGATACTGAAGCAGATCCCTTCAGCTCAGGATCCTCTTGATTGTCTCAGGCTCTTGCCCTATAGGGAAACCAGATGGGTTCCCTAGCAGCTGAATTCCGGTTGCCATTCCTGGGAGCTCAAGGAGAGGAGGGAAGGGCTCTAGTCTGGCCTTCCTGACTGGCAGTGCACGTGGTGGGGCAAACAGGCTGCCTGGTTTCCGGCTGGTGGCCTCGCTCTGCGTGAACAGAGGTGACAACCAGGCTTGTTTTTCCACTCCACAGGGGAGAAGGAGCACAGAGCCAGGAGGTGAGACCCCGCGTTGTGCAGTGGGACGAGGGCTTTCCTGGCCAGCAAACCACACATGGTGGACTGGAGCAGGGGGGTGCCTGGCAGGGGGCACTGGGAGTGCCCGAGGCCACCTGCTTCCCAGATCATCACATCTGCCCCCTCCTTCCCTGGGGCACACGCAGAGATTTTATTTCTAAGGCTAAGACTCAGCAGGTTTCAGCAGAAGGACTTTGTAGAAGTGCCCGCGTCCCAGGAACCTTCTCAGACAGGAGATGGTGAGGGTGTGTTCCTGTGAAGTACTGAACACTTACCAATCTGCAGTCACAGAGGTCACTTGGAAATTGATGTGGACTCGGTGACCAGAGAGAAGAGAACTTTCACATAGAGCCCCCCAAAATACGGGGATTTACCTGCCTTACTATCCGGTCTGGCCTCCAGATGGATTAGGGATTTCAGCATTGAAAACAAGCAGTGGTACTACAGAAAATATGGGTGAAGTTTCTTTTTGCCTGGGATCCAGGACCATGGATGGTTTAGATGACCAGCGTTGCTGAAAGACACGGAGAAGCAGAGCGCCCCCTACGCCTTGTGGGAGCACCCAGTACTTGCTTGGCCCTGATGACTTTTTCTGTACACTTACCTGCAGATGGGCGTTGCTCTCTGAGCTTGGGGGCCCAGAGCACGGACTTGAGTTTGGTCACACCTGGTTTCCCCCACTTGCAAGCTGCCGTTCCTTGTCATTTGAACTCTCTGCATTGTCAGACTAGCGTTGTCCTCAGAGAACAGATCAACAGACGATTGGACGAGAGCATGCCTGTGCAGTGACCTGAGCCCTGGAGACTGCCAGGAGGGCATCACTGCATTATTAACAGCAACGTGTGAGGTGGCCCAGAGCGCCAGCAGCATGGGGCGAGGAGACTGTAGCCACTGTGGCGCTTACCCTGCCCTAGCTGTCAGAACGAGCCAAGCCTTGCTGCAGTAACAAATACGGCCACTGCCATCGACCTATTCATTTCCTGCTCGCTGTCACACACTTATGTTCAGGGCACTCTACTCGGGGACCTGTGTCAGCAGGAACTCCACGGACATATTTCTCCATGAGCACGGGGGCCGAGGAAAGAGTACGTGTCCCTCTGCTTGCACGTCTGCAGCCAAGAGAAGCCCCATTTTGGAGCTTCTCCCAACGGTACTTGGGGGACCATGTGGTGCTCCAGCCCTTCGGCCACCTCCCTGGTTTCTTCTGGCTTGTCCACAGCTGCCTTCTAACTTTGTCCTCACGGGGTTGGCCTCTGTGTCTCTTTCCTGCTCTTGTATAGACTCTGGACATGGGCCCAGGCTCACCTATAATCGCATTTAAACTTACTTATCTCTGTGTTTTTCTTGTCTTTAAAAAAAACAAAACTTCTGTGTAGGGGCTAGAGCCATAGTACAGTGGGTCAGGGGTTTGCTTTGCATGCGGCTAACCTAGGTCCAAAAACGTGACATCCCAGAAGGTCCTCTAAGCCCACCAGGAGTGATTTTTGAGTGCAGAGCCAGGAGTAAGCCCTAAACACTGTTGGTTGTATTCCAAAACAAAAACCTTTTATGGGGATTGTGGGGACAGCGCCTGGTGGTGCTCTGTGGTTACTCCACCTCTGTGCTCAGGAGGCTCTCCGGGTCCCATGGTGCCAAGGATCCAGTTTGGGCCTCCTGCATGCAAAGGCAAAGCATGAACTCAAGCCCATTGAGCTACATCCTTCCCTCTTTGAAAGTATCATGTCCCAGTAGATGGTTCTGGGGCATTTTGGGGTTAGAGCCTCAGCGTGGGAACTTGGGGAGACAATTTATCTCTAGTTTGTGCACAGTGGGTCTCATCCAGGCTGACAGTGTTGGTGCAGCTGCCCTGGAGCCTGCCCTCGTTGCTGGTACCCACGTGTAGCGCCTGACTGGGGCTTGGACTGTGTGTGAGTATGGAACTCCCACCCTGGAAAGCTGGCTCTGCCCTAGGGAACGGGCTGTCGCTCCAGCTGTGACCGTTTTGCCTGGCCCCCGGGTCACCAATTATGCATTTTGCTGGCAAAGGCGGGTGCCCTGGCCCACTGGCGGGGTAGTCTAAAGGGAGTGAGCAGTAGAAGGGTGTGTGCAGCACCGTGTGTGGCCTGCTGGGTGCTCGCTGATGTGGAAGCCCCATGCCTTGCCTGCAGGGTTGGACCCCCAGCAGCAGGTGCCGGAGGACATGCTGGCCACACCTCCTGCCAGCTCAAGGG